GCTGGAGCGCCCAGCTTCCTGATGAGCACAGGCTGGGAGCCCTGGGCGAAGAGTTACAGAAAAGCAAGCTCTCCCATCCAGAACTGGCCTTAGCAATACTGGTCTTCGAGTTTGCTGTAAGGTCTGCATCTTGTCTGATCCAGTGAGCAGTGCAGGTCTTCCGGATAGCTGTGGTGTGGTGAAGCGCCTCCATTTTCCCTGACCTTTGCCACGTATCCTGGCTTGCTGTGTGTCCTTCCCAGTTATCCTGCCTCAAGATACCTGCACCTCTGTTTGTCTTCCTGGCTCTTGACACTTGGCTTGTCCATGACATGTCCATGGCTTGCCCTGATACCTCCTCCTAGTTCCTGACTTTGGCCTGTCCTGTGCCTACAGCTTGAACCTTGCTGTTGGACATTGGGCTCCATCCGTCTCAGGTTCCGTTGCCCTTGCCCTGGTGCCTCTGCCTTGCCACCCGCTGCCCACATCCCTGTCCCAGACAATAGGAAACATGGTTCTGTTGGCGGCACAGCTTACTTCGCAGCTGCCCTGTCCTCTCAGATTGCCTGCTTGTCAGCACATCAACCATTCCTAAAAGAGAGGTGGTTCCTTCCTTCAAACAACTACCTATCACTACTAAAAAGCTCACCACCATCTTTCAAACGCAGGCATATAAGCTGGCAAGTCAGCAGTGGAGCGCACACAGCGTGACCTATGATGCTCTAAAGCAATGGCAGCAGCCGTTTCGCCTGGAAGACTTGTGTGACTCCACATCTCTGGATTACATTAAGAAGTGAAATCGAGACTGGAGGACCTGCTGTTTGACAGAGACAAATTATTTAGTGCCACCATAGATGGCACACTCAGAGTGGAAAAAGTCAGAACTTCAGCCCACAGAGTGGGAATCACCTCTTATGCTAGTATGATCACAGCAGGTTGGGTCCAGCCATACTGGAACCACCCATGGCCTCTATGCAAACACCATGACTTGGCTGCAAACAGGCACCTGGAGAAAACGTGGCCCTTTCCAGACCAAGTTCTGCCAATCCACTCCTGGGAAAAACCACTGACCAGAACAGGCATCAGCTTGGACCACAGAGTACTTCATCAGAGCCACAATCCGATAGACAAGCTCCTTCTCTCAGTACGTGGGACCACATAACTGCAGACAGATGGGTTCTATCCACCATTGCCCATGGCTATCACATCAAGTTCAATCACCTCTTTCCTTTGGGGGTTTTTCATATGATCTTGCAGGGGGGAAATCTCTGTTCTTCTTGCCTAGATCACAATCGAAAGGATGCCACCAGCTTTTTGAGGTACTTTATGGTCCCAAAAAAGTATGGAGGCCTTTGCCCCAGCTGAAAACTGGATTCCGTTTGTTTAATGTATATAGGGTTTTCATGAACAGAAAGACATCCTTTGCCTTATCACCTGCCACTTTAGACCTAGAAAGGGGCCATGTGGCCCCGTTTGGCCCAGAACCTGGCCAAATGGGTCACTTGACCTTTCTTTAGCTTCTTAAGATAGAAAAAGCAACAGAAAATGTACACTGGAAAACCTGATATAATTTGAATAAATCAATGGCTGAGCTTAAAAAATAATAATAAAATCAGGTCACAGCTGAAATTCTGCCCTACATGGTTTTGAACAGTTCTCTTTACTAGCAGAGTATCTACTGTTATTCTCCCTCTGTGTGTGTGTGTGTGTGTGTGTGTGTGCGTGTGCGTGTGTGTGTGGGTCCCTGGGTCACAACACCCCTATCCCCATCTCAGATTCCTGATTGTATTGGAGTAGCAGGGGGTGTTTTCCTTAGTGTTTCACTGAGCCTGGTGTTCTGCGTTTTCTCAGGCAATTACTCATGCACATGAGAAACGAGCAAGGGCTCACGGTAAGCACGTTCCAGGCCCCCAGTGGCTTCATCAGTTAAAAAGCAGGACGGCTCTTTTGTGCATTGCTCTCCCTGAACGTTGGGTCTTGGTCGCGCTAGTACTGAATGGTAGGTGAGCAGGTTGTCATGCTGGGAACTGGCTTAGAGACCGAGAGAATGGTGCAGCTGACACATCCTTGAACTGGCAGTTTAAAGTGTGCTACCGTCCCGGTCTATTCTCGCACACAGAAGCAGAAGTAGCCAGTCCTCCCCTCTCATCTGAAATATAATCAGCAGCTTTGTAGCAGGGATTCACCCTCCTGCAAGCTGAGTGGCCTTAAGAGTGTTGTATTTTTTCTGGATTAGTAGACACGGAAGAAAATGCTTCTGGATCTCTTAACTTTCCTGAGTTAATCATATGGGCTTGCTCCCTTGTTTGATTTTGTTCCCCCTCCTGCAACAAGACTGAAGTGTTTACTGTCCAGGGAAATCCCACTGTTTTGGTATCAGCTATAAAGTCCCTGTATTTGAGGTACTCTCTGGGCAGATGAACTTCTGAAAGCAAGTCCTGTTAAGCTATTTATCCCCTGGCCATCCAACCGTTGTGGAATTAGTCTCTTTATAGCATGGACAGTATTTGCCGTTTTCTGAAATGCAGGCTTATCCATTGGTGGCGAGGGAGTAGGATTCCCTTCCTTTGGTTGTCCAACAAGTCCTAAAGAGGTCAAATACCTGCTAAGCAAAGTGGAGAAAGCTCGCTCGCTCGCTCGCGCGCTCTCTCTCTCTCTCTCTCTCTCTCTCTCTCTCTCTCTCTCTCTCTCTCTCTCTCTCTCTCTCATCATGCGGCAGACACTTCCACGGAGTTGTGTAGGCAGCAGGCAAAAATAAAGCTGGTTTGCAATAAGCATTAAACAAAGTGCTTTCAACTGACTCTAAGCTTTTAAGAGCCCTGTGGGGCAAGCCAAGATGCACAGGGGGGGGAAATTCCAGTGACTTCAAAGCAATCAAATTTGTCATTTAAAATTCGAGCCCTGTTTAGCTTTCACTCCTCAAGCCATTAAATTGAGAACAATCCCATGGAGTTCATTTCTACTGCTTTGGCACTTTGAGGATTGTAGCCTTATTAATTTCAAATAGGTGGTGTATGATACTGTGTGTAACTAATATCGTACACCTTGTCATTTTTAAAATATTAATTACTTCCACCTCTGAAATGACTTGATATCTGTGTTCTTTATATGTAAAACTACTACCTCTCAAGGCAAAAGTAAAAACACCAGCTGTTGCAGGTAGATCTCTATGCTTAATTTCATCAGAATTTTAGGGAATTTTCCTTCTAGCATTTCTCCTTCTCAGTCCATTGAAATTATTGATAGTTGCATGACTGCATATGTACACGGAAGAAGTATCAGAAATAAATTTAAATATGCCTCTCAGGAAGGCGTGTTTCCCAACAAGGCAAATATGTAAATCTTCCTACCCTGCTTTCCCCTGTTCACCTGCTGATTGCTAATGAAGGAATAGCCAAAATGCTGCAACCTATTCAGAATCCAGCATGGAGAGCCATCTCTGCTTGTGGCATATTGCTGTCTGAGTTGCGTAGGCTGATGTGGGAAGAAGGCCATCTTTGTGACCTAAGGAGCATAGCCCATCCCTATTTAGACACAGGCCGCACTCCCTCGGGATTCTCGGCGCTCCGTTTCATGCAGCTGCAGGAGCCACACCTTTGCCTCGGATAAGTCCAGCTATGTTCCCATTCAAGCATTGTTCAAGAATCTTCCTCTTTGCTCTTGTCTCCTGGTCCCCAAAGAGTTCAGTTAGAGTAACCAAATTCAGGGTGCAGTCCAATACATACCTAGAGAGAGAAATGTCCTACAGTTCCCAGTGTGAACCAGTTGGGAAGAATACTGGATGTTCTAGAACTTTCTCTGTCTAAACATAGGCTTTATATATAGGAACAGTCACATTTTTAAACTGTGATAACAAAACTTTGTTGTTGTTAGTCGCAAAGTTGTGCCCGACCCATCAAGACCCCATGGACAACATTCCTCCAGGCTCTCCTCTCCTCCACCATCCCCCGGAGTCCATCCAAGCCCACACCCACCACCTTATCCTCTCCTGTCCCCTTTTCCTTTTGCCATCAATCGTTCCCACCATCGATAACAAAACTAGGAGCCATAAAAACCTGAAATAGCGTACCCTAGGTGAATAATAACTGTGCTGTACATTTGATGAAGGATTCTTAATTCAGTCTGCTGTTGAAAAGCTATCTCAATTCTGCAGTACGGATAAACGAGAGAAACAGAGGTGCTACAAAGACATTCCTTCTTGTTTTACTGCCCGTGAAATGCTCTGTAACAATCCATGCCTAAGCTAATATTTAATAAACATCAGTAGTTGTGTATCTGAAAACAGAAAAAATATTACCCTTGTTTCAGAGGCACAACTTCTGGTTGCCGATGGGACAGAATGGGTGCGTTTAAATGACTTGAGGGTTACCAATTGTTCTTACTGCCCTTTCTTAGATAATTGTTTTCCACCTGAAATTTCTTAGCTGCCCCTCCACTGCCTATATTACATGGACATCTGAAGTCTACAGGTTTGCGACTGTAGGCATATCATCTCACTTGCTATAAATGGTGAAGGGACAATGTATGGGTATCTAATTTTATTAGTAAATGGAAATGTTCCTTTCTGTAACATTTCAGTGTATTAATGTTCCATATTTGTGAATAAACCATGCCATTTTTATTCCAAAAAGGGAAATCAATAAACAAGAAAAGATTAGGGAAGACTCCAACCAGAATTACACACTTTTTATCAGTTATTGGTTTCACTGGGAGATACTTAAGTAAATGCTAACTCTCCCATTGAAATCAGAAGTCAGAATCCAACCCATAGGTCCTGAGGCAAGTAAGAGTTCAATTATTCCATTTTGTGAGTCGTCAAAGAAAGGTTTTTGTAAATTGTGGGAGAAGAGACTGAAAAAGAAAACATGGGAGATCCGCCTAGTGATGAAGAACAACCGTAGTCTGTGTGTTGCTTGGTTTATTCATAGCAATGATGTCGGATCACATAAGAATGTGCATATGTATTGTATACCTGTATGTTGCCCACCCATGTGCCTTTTCTGTATGCTGTCCCCCTACAGGATGGATGGTCACAGTACCACTTCGTAGCCTCATCTTCAACAATAGAGAGGGATCGGCAAAGGCCGTACTCTTCATCACGCACGCCTTCCATCTCGCCAGTGCGCATGTCCCCCAACAATCGCTCAGGTAAGAGCAGCCGTACGTGGTGGGGCGAGCCAGGAAGTAAATCTGCTGAGCGTTCTGTGAAGAAGTGAAGTGGTGTCAGTAACCGGAATGAGACAAGGGGAATATATTCTCGGTGTTTACCTGCTTGCTATTGCTTAGATGCTGTCCATACTGACATCCAGACGTTTAGGATAAACAACAGACTAGGGAGTTGTTGTTCTTCAGATTGGCATTAAGAGTGTTGCTTTTTTAAAATCCAGTGGACAGGTTGTTGAGCTTAACTCTTGATAGCCTACATTCCTGCCTCTGCTTCTCTGTCTCAGACCTCTGTGGTAGCCCTGCATTTGATTCCATATTTGGAAAATGCTAACCATGGCCTACTCTGCAAAGATCAGTTGTGAAGTGATTCTGATTGGAAAAGTCCTATCTAGATTACCAGTGATCATTGCAGTGTCCCTTGTTCCTGGAATATGAATGCGGGATGTGGCAGCTTGCCCGGTATTGGAGGGTCTTCAGAATGCCACTCTGGGCTCTCTTTGGGGGAACTGGACATGCCTGATCCAGAGCCTTGAAATTATTTCCATGACCTACAGCAAGATCTCCTACATAGGATGCAATCCCAGGCAGAGCAAGGAATTTGGGTAGTGGGTGCGACTAGAGAGGCACCAATAAGCGGATGAAAAGAGGAAGGTTTGAAAAGCAAAGGAGAAGAGACAAGCACCATCTTCTCTTTGAAAGTGCTCTGGAAAGACAAGCCCTGCAATTGTGGCCCTCACCCACGCTCTGCCGGTGGAACAGGGAGTCAGCATGTGCCTTGGAATAGTGAAAGAGGTTGGAAAGTCCCAAAGCCCATCTGAAAAAGCCTGTGTACCAGTGAAGTGCCCAGCTGTAGTAACAGCATGTGTCTGTGGCACTATCCAGAGCTGGACACTCAGTAAGTAGCAGGCAGAAATGAAGGCAAGTTAGGTGCACCCATCACACTGACCTTTCTTCAGGTACCTTACAACCCAATCCTATGCAAATCTGTCCAGAAGTAAGTCCAGCTGAATTCACTGAGCCTTCTTTCCAGGTTGGTGGGCACTGGATTGTGGGCTTAGTGTTATCTTCTTCATCGTTTAAAGTTAAATCCCAGTACATCCATTTTTATTTAGGATATTAGTTTACAGTATAGAGCAATGGGAGTTGGTTTATCTGTGCCCTTTACTATGAAGGGAGTGGCAGGTTTCTCCAGAGCAGTTACTGTCCTGAAATTCGCTGTGATGAAAACACTTTCTTGCTTGCATTGTTCTGCAGACCAGTGAACGCAGTTGCATCCATCCTGTTCTCGTCAGCAATTGTTTAATGGTATTCATAGGTTTGGCTGGGGGTGTTATAGAGATGGTGATGGTGGCGGCGGCAGCGGCGATGGCCCTCTCGTGGAGTGTCTGTCTGGGTGGGTCACAAAGCACAAATCTCCAACATTTTTCCATGGATTTATTCCCCTGAATACATTTCCATCTGCAATTGCTTAACAATGACCGGAGACCTTTCAGATGGACTTTCCCAGACAGGCAGGCTGGAAGTCTGCCATCAGGTCTTTATGGATTAGATCAACCGACAGCATCTCAAGGTAGACATGTGGTGTTTGGCTTTGGAGGGGCCTGCCCGGAGATCCAGTCGCAGTTGCCTCCCCCTTTGGCAATACAGGGGAGGGGAACACAGCCGGAGAGTGAAAGACCAGCCTTTCTCCGTACGCAAGCATTTCAGTGAGGCCTGCTCGGAAGATAGGGTGCACATTAAAGGGCTTTTCCTCCCTTGCTGCTTCTTCCCTTTTCGAGTGGAGCCACACCTGCATTTCTATCCCCTCATACATTAAGAGGCACGGTCATGTCTTCTCAACTGTTCTGTCCAGTTTTGCCAGCAGCTTCTGATGTTGGCCTGTTTGACGGCTGACTCTGCTTCATCCATGTCCATCACGCACTGGACCACCCAACATCATTTTAAGAAAAGGCAGACGTTAAAACAGATTGCACTGATAAGGTACACATGGTGCTTTCCAGCTCTGATGGAGGGCGGGGGAGCAACGTGCTGCCACTGGAATGGGCTGGTTCCGTTTGGTGTTCTGCGCGGAGGCCTTCTTCACACCACACAGATATTCACGCCCATCGTTATGGCAGAAGATCTTCTCCTCAGTAATAACTCACTTCCAGCTACAATTACACAGACTGCTGTGCTGCCACCTTTGCCGTGAATTCCTTCGCAATCACAAAGGCCTTTATTGCTGGAGACATCACCAAGGCCGCCATCTAATGCAGCCACTCTTCCTTGTTAGTGGAACCAGTGGAGGAAGAAGTGCTGCAGGCACCTGTTAATAAAGACTTCACCTTGAGAGTCCTTGCCTTACCTGCAGATTATCTGCCATATTCTGGTCAAACGTGTTGCCATATGAGAAATGTTTCTCATTGGCATGCATGTTCCCATCCCGGGCAGCTTTATTTGTCCTTTCAGGGTTTCTTCCAAGCCTCTGGCAGAGAGGGAGAAAGAGAGAGAAACCATTATTTTTAAGGAACCCTTTAACTCATCCCCGTTGAAAGGAAGAGCAGTTTTTCTATAACCCATGCTGATTATTTTTTGAAAATATTTGTTTTACCATAGCTGTAGCTTTTAAAACAGAAATTAATATTTAAGGATATTAATACAGATATTATTTGTGTTCCTCTCTTTGAAGTGTTTTTGTTTCTGTAAATGAAAAAGAAAAGAACTTGTTACCTAGGGTTCCACTTAGAAATAAAAATATACACGTAATATTAGAATCTCAGAGTCAGTCTTCTAGCCAAAGGATGAGATACTCTGCATGGAGATAAATTGGAGCACAGCTGAGGCAGAGGAAAGAAAAGAACCTGGTTCTCCTCATTTGATCTGAGAAAGCGGTAAATCCAGGTGCCTGGATGGTTTGGGTGCCCCCAAGTGTTTTCTAGCCCAGGGAAAAATCCATGAAAGTATGTTGACTGTGGCAAACATGCCAGGCAGTTGAAGTTACAGATCTCATGAAAAATGACAGCCCTGATTAATTAATTCCCTTCTCTCAAACGAGTTCCCAAGTTTCAAACAATACCCTGCTCCAAAGGAACGGGCCATCACAAGAAGTGTTGCTTTCGTTGGTTTGTTTTTCTTGAAACATTGGAATGGAGTACTGTTTGAACAAATCCTAAGGGCTGCTTTTGACAGAAGGGCAAACAAACCCAGGCTTTCCAATTAGAGGAAAGCTGCGAGATCGCCTGGGTAGCTGCGTGGGAATGCAATGTGAGTAGCAAGTGGGCGTAAACCATTCCAACTGGTTTGCCGCTTCAGGTTGCATCACACTCCCCAGCTCTTTGCACTCTAGTCTTTCTTCTCTTTATATTCCTTCGCAAAGTTGACTGCTGCCTTTATACATGCCATCCCTATCTTTTAAACCCTTTAAATGGCTTAAAAACCAAGGCTTCAGCAAGGGGCGGCATAGAAATGTTCTAATAATAATAATAATAATTCCACAAAGATGATCTGTGTCTATATGAATGTTCTCACCACCTGAGATTAACTAGGAAGGCCTTTCTGCATGACCTTTTATTTTCCAAGGGGTTTGCCTGGTGGGGTGGAAGAAGACGGTACTTTTGCTGTGTCGATCTGGAACTCTCTGCCCTTGGAGGTCCCATTGTCTTACCCCCACCACTTTGCCAACTGAACGTGCCCCTTTCCAACAAGCTTTTAACTGATCTACTGCATTTATAATAATTTTCTGGGCCTTTTCTAGAGTTTTACTTTTAATTGTCGTATCTCCATTCCTATGCAGTTGTCACATTTCTTGTTCAATGGTATTTTGTGTTGATTTGCTATTGCAAACTCCCTTGAGCACCTGTATTTCTGAAATGAAACTTGCAGTGCAGATAATACCATTGCTACCCACACTTTGGGATTTTAGAGATTTATTTTGCACAGTTCTGTCCTCAAAATCCACTGGCTGAAGCCATGCAAGACTCGACGAACACAGCATCCACCCACAAACTGCGCCGGTGGAATGGATGAAGCAGCGTGGGGTTGCAGGAAATGCATGCTTGCACTTCATCCTGTACCTGTTCCATTCACAGCCGTGCCATGCACACTCAGGAATGGTGTGAGTTCACACCAGTCCAGAGGGGACACCAAGAATTTCCATCCATTGGCTTCGAATGGGAAGGAGAGAGGAGTTAAAAATAGCTGTCAGCAGCAACCTCACCCACGGCACAGCACGGGACGCGGTGTAACTCACGGCATCCCATCACCTCTACATAGACAGAGAGACCACGAATAATACCACGTGTGACTCCAGAGTGTCCCTGACCTGCATCTTGCAGACTTAATGCTTACGGGGGGGGGGGGGGGGGCTTTGGTGAGGGGAAACCGGGAGAAGGGCATTTTGGACCAAGAAGAGCACGAACACTCTGTCTGCTAGGGAATGGAGCACATCGCTAACGCTTCTCTGCCTAGACTTCCAACAGGTACTTTCCGCTGGGATCCAGTTGCCAACACGGAGCCGTAGTCCACTCCAATAATGAAGGCACCCCACATAGGTAAGCAAGGGAAGGGGGGACCCGTACGACGACGTGTGGCCGCGGGCCTGTCTCCTGTGTCGTGCCCGTGCAACACCATCTCTAAATACTGTTTCTTGCCCGGCCAGCATTGTCCTAGCACTGCCCCACCAAGCCCAGAACGAGAAACGGCATCTCCTGCACACGGGAGGCTCCTGCGGGCCACTCACAGGGACATCCGCCTCGCTTCCTGAATGGACACAGCAGCACAGGTTGTCACCGCGCTCAACACTCCACCGCAACAGCGACGGAGACGGTGCTGCACGTCCTTCCACCTGCTGCCATCTTCCCATCCTCTTTCAGACACAGGGAGGCTGAAGCCGGAGCGCCGAAGGGCACTCGGGCGCGGCACCCCATCCCGTCACCTGCCTGCCGTGTGCTCCGGCTGTCACCTGTGGCTCGCTGCGGCAGCCGGGAAGGAGATCCGCATCATGA